AGATCATTCTTAGTAATGTATGGCAGAACATATTTTCTCGCGAATTTTAATATTATATTAAAGATGTGATAAAAGTGATAATTGACATTGTAATTGACATATTACCAAAATTATTACTATTGTAAGTGGTCTGAAAAATTCGAGATTCATACCCTCCTTTCAACAAAGTACCACTGGTATTTAACGGATTGCTCAACTTTTCTTTACAAATGGATTTTGTGAATTTGACTTGACGTAAAATCAAAATACATTATGTTCACTCTCCACTGAAAATTGTTCTTCTTTATGTCGGATACTAACCGCACAAGGCGAATGAATTTTGATATGATGAAATTATATTGATTAGGTATCTTGAATGCAATAAAAAAGTGTTGTTATAAATATATTAATGACTTTTTATCGTGATAAAATTATTAAGTTTTATTTTCGCAAATTAATTTATTAATTTATAGTAAATACGATCTAATTGTTGTTAGTATTTCTTCTGCGTTTATCAATATTTCATTAAACATCGGTTTAAAAAAATTTGTGTTACGATACGTATTTTCGACGTTTTCGTATAATCCCACGTTACTAAAATTTATTATACTTCTATATTATCATTTTTATTATATTTTGAACAGCATTTATAATTTTTTTTTTTTTTGTAAATGTAAATAATTATTATAATATTGAATTGTATAAAAGATTACAATAAAGAATAATATTAAAAGTTATTGCAATTTCATTAACGAAATGCAATAAAATAATTACACATAAGAATAAAACTATATATGTAGCACTATTATACAAATCAAATATCCATTTATCATCTCCAGCCTTGAAAAATGGACGATGTACCCTAAGAAAAGTGGACGTTGCTATGTAGTTTACATTCACTTTGTCAGAGAGCAGCATTTTGCGATTACAGGTTTTGGTCGGTCATGTTCTCTCTCAGGTTTCTCTCTGTAGTCTGTAAGTAGCGATCATGTTAGGGGATGTTTGAATTTCTACACAGGTCAGGGTGCGCCCCGAATGTTCTTCATTCTTATTTAATGTTCGGTAAATAACAAGGATAGAGTGACACTCGGGTGGGAATCTGAATCCAGCATTCCAGCACTTCTTTTTCTCTAGAACGGAACGTGAAAAGTGAAAATTTTTATGTATTTACATATTCACACTCATACAAAAAATTCCGCTTTTGACGCTTCCACCCTATTTAGGGAAAAAAGTTACACCAATCGCTAATTCGCTACCTTGGGTTGGTGCTGTTTTTCCGTGCTTTCTTTGGCTTTTTTTAAAAAAGGAAAAATTAGGATGAAATACAAGAAAATGTATAATGACGATCGTTTTATCAAATTTGATTCCAAACGAATTTCGATCATGTGTGTACGTCACATCATAAGATTAAAATCCGATAATCATTTAATATTTTCAATGTATGAAGAGCTGTTTAGAAATTAGAATTGAACGATTTAAGGTTATGCCGCTGCATAAGCACATCTGATAAGTGATCCTTGGTCAACGCGATGCTGTAAACATTTTGAAGCGTTTTTTAATTGTTTGTAAAATTCTTTCTTCTTATTGGTCTATCAAATGCTTCAAAGCATTTGTAACGAGACTTGACCACAGCTCTTGTCTAAAAGTAAAATTTGTTTCTCTTTTGTACGAATTGAAGCACTTCAAAAAGCACTGAAAAAGTCTATATCTTAGAATATTTTATTCATGTCAATTCAGAAATTTCGTATTCTGAAAAAATATTTTCTGAAAAAATATCTTAAACTCTTTTAGATTTTGTAAGATTTTATCAGAAATTTTAGAATGAGAATTCTCAGAAATCTTAGAATATATTTATATAAGAATTATAGGGAAGATGTTTTTGGCAATTTTAAAAATTTTAATTTATATTTAAAAATCTGAGAAATTTGCTAAAAAAAAAAACTAGAAAATATTTCAAAAATTTTTTAATTTATATAAAATTCTGAGAAAAATTTCCATTAGGATTCTTATCTAATATAAATAAGAATGTCTCTATAGGTGAAAGATGAGATATTAGAACAGGAAGAGTATCGCAATTTTCGTCTTCAATTTTTCCTGTAAGATAAACCATTACCTACCAAAATGTGTGAAGTTGTTGTTTTGTTCAATGGTTATTCCAAAAATTTGGGTGCTGGAAAAATGGATGCAAATTGCACTTGTACTCTAATAATAGGACCCAAACTAATTATCGTCGACACTATGACTGCTTGGGACCGTGAGATATTAATAGAAGGTACACTAAATAGAATTCACTGAAATTTTACAATACTGCTTATTATAACACTAAAACAGTTGATATTTTGCTGGAATTATTGAAGATGTCAAGTTGATATTTTCTTTTTCTTTTTCTCAGTTAAGAAAGAATCGTAGCAATATCATTTGTATCATATTTACATATTTTTAATATTATATATGATATATTTAAAAAGAAAAAAAGAAAAAATTGAAATACTTAGTCGAAATTATTTTTTGATTAATCAT